GACATCGTCATATTATGTGATATATTCAACTAGTCTCGTTCCCAAGGTAACTGGAATGATCCCTTTTGATAGGTTACAATGTCTTGCAGTTATGGTCTGTATGCAGCTTATGGTAAGCCGTAAATATGATCAGTTCGCTTTATCCTACAAGAAATTTTGCTCTTAGTTTTACCGAAATTATCAAGGAAACAAAAGTAATGGAGTCAGTCGAAACAGTATTTTAATGGTCATTGGTTCGTATCAATAATTTCTCTGTTCTTTTTGTTATGGTGAAAACTATTTTCGTTGCATAAAAGGTACATAGTTTCTTGTGAATTATGAAACTTTTTTCGATAGGGCTCCACATCATAGACTAATTACTAATTTATTTTTTTGTTTTCTCCTTCTTTTAATTGTCTAAAGTTAGTGTTTTTGTTAGTTAGTAGAAACACGGTCGTTGTTGTTCAAAGAATTGCATGCATCACTATCTTTACTTTGACTGTAAAAAAGTTTCTTTTTATTATTTCCATGAATATGTCTGGACCAGATATCTTCTTGACAATACAGCTTTGATTAGGTAGGAGGTCTTAGTCAGCAACTTAAGACCAGTTGAATGACGAAATGGAAAAAAATCAAAAGTAATATATATTTCCGTTCCAAAATTTTCAAACTTTTCTGTGATATATATATATATATATATATATATATATATATATATATATATATATATATATATATATGATCATTAGGAGTTTAATAGTTCATTGGAAATTTAGAAAGAGTAAGTAGTGTGGAGACTGCGCATGAAATTACGTATAAACCATTTAAACTTAAATTGATGCTTCATTTTTATAACCTTTCTTAGACATTTTGTACATCCTTCCAAATGCATGTAAAAATGAATGCTGTTTATCTGTACAAGTTGAATTTTTGTTTTTAGAGCTATCATGGCACTTCTGCTTCTTAAACCTGGAAATATACTGTACTTCTATCTACTCAGAGTTATACCTCCGTTTACTATTGTTTGACGTGAACATTCATTGATCATCCTTGCATTTTACAGGACCTCTTATTCTACTTCCAAATATCACAACAATCAAACCAACCAACGTCAACTCTGCAGTGTTGACGATTATCGCCTTCTGAACTCATATTGGAGTATACTAAAATTGTGGTGGATAGTACCGAACAGATAATATTCAGATAACCGATTATTATTCATAACACTGGTATTGCTATTTCTCATTATTACACATAACTTTACATATTTGTGTATTATTTTATCTATTTTAATGAATTATAATTAACTTGATATTGCTTTGGGTCAGCTACAGCATTCATTTTGTTGCATAGAGCAGAACCAAAACCTTTTGATCATATCATTTTAAACATTTGATAGACTTTTCTCTACATGATTAATTTAGGCCGATCATTTTCTGAAATGCCGTTTAGTTTCGCATTCATATTGATTTACAAAGGACCACTGATTAAGAGAAAGCTCTTGGTCAAAACTCTTTGAATTCACATGGGTTTTCATGTGATATTAGTAGGTTATGAAAACCAGAATCAAGTGAATGATTTCTCCACTGGTCAGTCACTTAGGTGAGTATCATTAACTTCAGAAATAAGAATGAAGTAAAACAGATACTTCATACAGTTCCTTCTATAAATTTGAAATGAGAAAGGACAAGTGTTGTAGCACATTAACATGGATCAGTTTCATTTTGGAGCTTCTAATAAGTTGCTGATAGCGTCAACAAGTCCACTATTAAAGTACACGAAAATTAAAAATTGTTTGAGGATTTTGTGAAGATGCCTTGATATTGTAAGTAGTTTCATTTTTCAGCAGTGATGGGCATTGGTTAGCAAGAAAATCCAGAATGTGTACTTCATTCTATTTAGGACTCATCAACCGAACACACCTGCATCTTGATAAAGGATGTTGTCCCCATTGAGTCTTGAATGCATCAGTCATTGCTCCAAACACCCTAACGTTATTATCTAGGTTACTGAGTTACGATATTCACTTCTTGTTTGACGGGTGCACTTTGTTGCTTTAGTTTCTAGTTTTTCATAGTTAGTTTGATTGAATTGATCAAATGAAAAGTTTCTAATTAAAAAAATTTAAGTCATAGATTTTTCTGCTAGACACTAGCCATCATTACTACTAACTAAGTTGCCTAAGGATCGAAAGCTTAGAAACATATTCTAGGGATCAGAAACAGGGTTGGAAAGCAAACTGAGACGAATATGTACGGATATTCAAAAAGCAACAAACTGTGTTGCGTAACAAACATAGAAATCTAAAAGGTAAAAGGATCGCATACAGAATATCAGAATATTGCTGTGGTAGGGATACATAAACTCGGTCTTAGTTGCTTAATCGCTATTACTTTCTTGAAGTGAAACAAGCTTGATTCATTGGCTTTAAATGATAACTAAATATTTTGCTATTGCTCACTTTGAGAGACTGCACACCTGAAAACTTGTGTACCTCATCGTTTTTGAAGCCAAAACTTATAAAGGAAAAAGTCGAAAATATATTTCGTTTCTCACTTTGGGTAGTATTTTTTATTATTTTCCCCTGGTAATTACCAACGAGTTTCTGTAGAGATATATTATCATGGAGACATCCTTATTTATTCTTCAAGCTTCTCTTTTGAGTTAAGACTTCGAAAGAGATTTGTAAAGTATCTTCACTAGCACTTTCTTTTAGCTCAACTGCCGCAGTTAATGTACACTCCACTTTAAGGATTGTTACAATGAATGAATCTTTATGACTAACATTTGGAGTTAATCGAATTCCGAAATCACCAAGGTGAAACTACTCATTCTATTCTTATTCCATTCTAGGTTCTACAATCTGATTTACTTTGTTGAATGCTCTTAACATATGAAATGTATAATTTACTTCGTTGTGCCTAGAAGAGGAATCATGGAAGCGCATTTCCTCCTATTTGGGACTTGTCAGCTGGATGTACCTGGATAACAATTTGGCGTTTGAAGGGTGGGGACAACATGACTTACTAAGGTGCAGGTATATCAAGCTGATGAGTTCCAAACAAAACGAAACGCGAATCCTAGATTCCTCTGCTAGCCATAACCAAGTAAATTAGCATAATAAATATTGAGGCAATATCAAGGCATCCGCATAGGAGCCCTTATGTCCATAGAGGTCGAAAAATTCGATTCGGTAAAACAACTGAGAATTACAAGCGTATCAACAAATAGATATGAGGTATGTTTACAGTAATTATAGATAAGGAGTGCATCACCAGAATACATACTGTATAGTATCTGTCCTATTGCACATTTCATACTCGTTTATTCAAAGTTCCTCATAGTGATATAAACTAGGATGGAACCCAAGAACTACCCTTCAAAAATTCATCAACTTAAAAAGTAACAATTTCATAAGCTTGTTCGGACTTCTGTATAGATACATTATTCAAAAGTTTAGTTCTATCTAATAAATTTGTCTTCTTATTTAGCCGTAAGTTTATTATCCCTTGATAGAAGCCCAATAAAATGAATAGGATAATTTGGTTCCATTCAATAAAAAGATCTGAAAGTGTTAAAGTCTGACAGAAATAATGTCGTAACTAATTAGATAGATACAATTTAGTTGTATCCATACACTACATATGCATATTTCATAAATTCAGTTGAGTAAATAAATGGTTATTCATATACGTCGTTTCATTAGTTTTCGTCCACATCTTGAATAATTATTGTAGGAGACTTACTCACCTAATTTGCATAATTGGTGACTGCGATATGGCACAATCCATCCATTTTAACAGAAAATAATAGTGTAAACCTGTTTGGTTGCCTGTGATTACTCATCTGAGAATTTGTTACCATATCATTGGAAATGCTGCAAAAGAAACTTGGTGTTGGTTTTCATTGATATTCAAGTACTTCAGTGCCCAACTATCTAATAGGTTCTACAAATTCAGTGGTTCATGGACTATTGGACGAGAATATTCTATGGATATCGGTAGTGTCTCAGTAGATATCTTAGTCAGTGTTCATCGACTTGTTAAAATTAGAAGATACAAACGCTCAAGAATTTCAGTAGTTTATGGACTTTAAGGCCTTCCCAATCTTGTTGTATGTCTGTTCCAGAAATCTTTTCACAAGAACTAAGCAAATCACATCATTTTCTACCCAGTGCTATTGTCGTATATATTCGGAAATTTCTTAAACGGTTGTTCTTTCCCTTCGGAATAAGGAATGCCTTGTCAGCTTGGATTCTCATACTTTATGCTGATACAATGGTTCTCTTTCAAGGATATGGGGCAATGTCACCTCTAAGAATAAAATGATGCTTGCCATTAGTCATAATACCTGAATAACTTAACATATTTTCTTGTTATTAGAAAAATCTTTGACATTCATGACCATCTTTGTTGAGTGTTCTGATTTTTTTCTTCTAATGTATTCAAAAACATTGACCACTCATTTTGTTTGACTTCATTCAATTTGCTTATACAACCATATTTAACCTCTTGTCTCGATTAGTGTTACCATTATATTTTGTTTTGGATAGGAACTGCAGTAGCCGTCAAAATTGAAGGTTTCTAACTAAGTTTTGTAGATATATTTTGTTGTTAAGAACAACTCCCACGGGGTTCACTTACTATTTGATTATACATTCGTTTTTGGCAAACAATTGTTTTAGATTCAGTTGGTTTCGCTTTAGGTTTTGGGAACTCTGAAAATTCGTATCTTCATTACGCGCTACTCAGTGGATTTGACGTAACAATCTTATTTTATAGGACTTAGTCGAATTTTGATCATAATTCTCTAACACCTTATTGATTACTTATTCATCTGCACTACTGACTAGTCGTTAAAATAACGATGAACAAAAATTGTTTTTTCTTGTTGATAGAGCAAGTGATGAATCAATTATTTTAATGGATTAAAAGTTTTATACAATGATAAAGTGTACTTGCAAGGAGAAGCAAAACAATCGAAAATGATAACAAAGCAATGTACTTAACTGAGAATGATAAAGTAGTTTCATCTGCCTGTTGCAAAAATGTATATAAGTCATTACGTTAGTTGGGCTGGTTTTATGTCTTATTTATGTGTGGTAATTGTACACTGAGAGAAGGATGAAATTATTGTCTTTTATGACAGTTTACTTTTTAGTAGCTGGGGTATATTGCTATCCACGTGGAGAACAACCTCGTGATTATGATGAAAGGTCTCCTGGTTATGATAATAATGACCGTGATTATGATAAAAATGACTACTGGCATTCAAAATATAGTGACGATGATGGTTATGGTGATGACATTGACTACACTCCTTACGGTGACAATTATCACTATAACCACGACAACAGTTTTCAAAAATATGATGATAAACCTTCTAAATACGATGGTTATGACGATAAATACTACGAAGATAAAAAGCCTTACAAGCCTGTTTATAAAGACAATTATGACAATGAATATGGAGAATACGAAAGAGATGACCAGAAGTACGATCAGTACAGTGGTGAAGGTGGTAAACTATCGCATTACGACGACAGTTATAATGGTGACTATGAAGATGATCATAATGAATACGACGGACATAGTCCACCTGGTAACCGCGAAGTACAGTACAGGGATGAAGGCAGTGATAAAGGTGATTCTAATCATGATGGTGTTAATAGTCTCATAGAATCAGACTAGAGAACATTACGGATAAAGACTGTAATACATAAGATGTGAAACATTTTACAAATATAACTGCATCAATCTACTTCACTTTTCTCACTAATTTGACTGATGCCACTCAAAAAAGGATATTTATTTTACTACAAAGTAGTTAATTTTCTACATTCACATGTTGCTTTTAACTGAATATGACAAAATATTTCTTTCAGTAAAGAATGCATCCGACCAGGTTCATATTTTTAACGGTTATTAGACTTTTTATACGACAATATTTTAATATTACCACGTTTCGCTGTGTAAGTCACAGCTTCTTCAGCAGAATATACGGTTTCTTATTAACACCACCATTTTGATGTTGGAAGTGCAACCAATGAATAAATAGCATGAAACACGATTCAATGACGGGGCGTTTTAGAAAGTATAAACATAGGTGAATACATGCACACAGAATACAGAAGATACTTGAATTTGTGGACTTAACGCTATAACCCATAACAAGCACGACAACACTCGGGGATAACTTTTATCCCCACACGTTTCATCTCTATGTTTAAATATATAAAGAAGCAGCCGTTTACGTATCAGTGCGCTCAACACCATTCAATATTCACTTAGAAATGGCGAAAATCTGTTTTTCCACCTAGGAATGTAATATTGCAAATTAACCATTCAGAATAAAGTGTAAGTAAAGCTACATGTAGTAAAAAACACTGTCCTTAGTTGCTTCTTAATTTGTAGAATAAAAATAGAGAGATATTATTCCTGTATTCCGCATGTAGAAACCTTAACATCAGAACTTAGCTGCCTCTTGGTACACGATATAGGAAATGGAAGTTGTCTAACTTAGAGTTAAGTACCATTTTCAAATTTGGAGGCAGTTTGAGGGTAAGTGGATTCCGACGTCACTACTGTGCCTATGCTTGTGTGGGTTTTTCTTACCTTGCAGATGGTACTCATTTTAAGGAAGATCGCCATCTTCATCTGCTGATAGAACATCAACAATAGCCCCGTATCACACTGTAGGTTATCGAGTTTTGTGCACCAAGTACACTGAATAAATTAACTCCTCCTGACACTGTTTAAACCACTGCAGTGTATCCCGTAGTCTGATTCTTTGTGTACGCGCATTTTCTGAAATACTTCCAACTCGTCACAATAAAATTAGAAGAAACAACATCAAAAGTGGAAGTAGGCTCTAAATGTACAACGACATGTCAAATGACTGTCTATACAGCCGTTTTCTAAGTGAGAGAATACTTTCTCTTGCTTTTATCCGCTACCCAGACGGTAAAAACTTTTGATGCACTCCGTAACCAAGGATAGAATTTATGGTAAAAAACGTCAGGAGAACTTAGGGCATCGTAACGGTTGCTCCTCAGTTCGCGAAAAATTTTACAGACCATTCCACAATTCCTTAAATTAGGCCGAGACTTCCAAAACCATCCCACATTTCTCAAAGTCAGTTTAGAGTTTTTGTTAGAAGACTTTGTGGTTCCCTAAACCCTCCTGAAGTTTTGACATACCATTCTGCAGCTCTCTAGGTGAGCCAGAAGTTATACTTCGAACTTCCCATTACTCTACAGCTGGCCTGGTGGTATTAATGCCAACTAAAAGAAATCAGTGCTTTTGAATTGCAACAGAAGCAGTTTATTTAATTTAGGGATTTCATTTCAACTCAACAGAAAACACTGCACAACATTTCTCTTATTGATGGGCTATTTGAGTTAATCTCATTATTACGCTATGCCTTCCGCATATCCCTCCCCCATGTCCAGAATGCCCATCTGTGGGTGCAATACTGTATAAAATTAGGCTAATATTAACAAAGGGGCCCAAACTGCTGCTTCCTTCCCTCTTTCATTCCTTCAGTCAGTCTCCACTGTCGTGAAACCAATGTTATAGCACCTTGACAATCGTCTTCGTTGTCGCACATTTATTGTCACTGTAGCGTCTTTGAAAATCAAATATAGCCCCTTGTGAAAGTGGATGCGTGGGCTATTCGCACTTATTAGTAACAAATTTACACAACGAAGTCTTCTTGAAAGGTTTTCTTAGTGCAGTGGGCGATTGTAAGTAGCATGCTGTATTCTGGTGGCAGTACGTTGTATATGATCCTTCATACTGATACCCCAATATCTGCACTGACTAGAGTAGAGATTTCTTGTCAAACCTTCCCACGAAACGTTAAGTCTGGCTACACTCCATTTCCTGCACTTTACTGTCGTCGTTCATACTCCACTCTCCAGAGATTGTAAGCCCATACACAGAGTCTTTAGGGATGTCACTCATCAGAGGCAGCACCTCTTGGTGACATTAGGTGGAATAGTGACAGACCATAGAGAGATAATTATGAATGTGGAACTCCACATGAAAGATGAACTGACCTCCCGCCTGTGGAGTTTTGGTGTAGTGATAACAAGTTTCTGATCTTCCGGTGACTATGTGTTATAAACAGATGTAATGGCATAATAAAGAACCTGAGTTAAGTTAAAGAGTAACGTACAGGCGACTTTCAACAACTAATCAGACTGACCGATCCTCTTAGTGTATATATATATATATATATATATATATATATATATATATATATATATATATATATATATATATAAGTGGACTACTGAACAATAACCTTAGGCTTCACCCCTGAAGTTGGCTGTGTACCTCAAGAATAGAAAACAGCGGCAGAGACGATAAAGGGTGAGGCTATAAGTTATCCCCGGGTGTTATCGTGTTTCTCGTAGGTTGTAGAGTATTTTGTGGGAATGCACATATTTTTCGCATTCTGTATGGATGTTTAAACTATTTGTGTAGTTTTTACAATATTGTCTATCGCTGAATCATGTTTCACCCCGCTTGTTCTTGTGCAGATTATTGACTGCATTTCCATTTCTTAGGAGAAAAGTAAGTATACTTATTTAGTCCCCTCCTAACTGATTACATACTCACAGCAGAGTGAAAATATTACACATAGAAGAGACTGAGTGTTAGTCTGCAAGAGTCATATAAAGTGCTGGGAATGCCTTGAGCAGACAGCCAAATCAAACCCAAAACAATACTGGCCTCCTATATCGCATTGAACAGAATACAGCAATAGTGACACTTGCAGCTGCATCACACACGGTAAACCATTCTTGTGTGCTGATGATATAAAATTTGCATACGCATTCTCTTATGTTGACTTACCCCACTTCCAAGCGTTAGTACAAAGGGGGCCTGATAGAGTATACACAGTCTACTGCTTGGAAACTTCAGTTTAATACGAGCACACGTGGCTGGGTATGTTTCGGTGCTTCGCTGACAGACAGCCAACCTCATCTTAAGTCTATGAAAATACCTGTTCTTAAAAGTGTCTGTGACCTAGGGCTAGGGTACTCAAGTGAACTCACATTCTTTGAACAGTTCACATCATAGGGTGGCAAGTCTAGGGTCTTAATGGGTTGCATAGTCCGTAATCTTCAGTCAAAGAGGTCAAGTCATTGCTCTACAGAACTTGCATACGTCCACTATTGGAATTCTGTCCATTTATATTGAGTGGTAACCTCGCCCAGTTTACTAGTTGGCTAGTTACTAACCAGTCCTAAACCCGGATAAAGGGGAAGGTTGGGCATAGGAATAGCAATCCCACCCCGGAAAACCAATCCAATTTTTAGACAAACCTCGAATCACAAAGAAAATACAAAAGATAAACATAAACTTACTACTCGCTGGAATCAGGGAGACAAAATGATCCAGGTTGGTGAAAGCTTTCGGCAAGCCAACTGGCTGATGTGCCTTTTCTCTCTCTCTCTGTCGATGAAAATGAGAGTAAGAATGAGGACATGGAACATCCGCACAATGCATGAACCCAGTAACGCTGCCCAGATTGCAAAAGACATCAGAAGATACAGCATAGAAGTGCTAGGCTGGCTATCGCACAGGAATCTCCAGATGGAATCGAAGTGGGCTCTCCAAACTGTCAACTACACACCCATCCAATAATATACTCCGGTATTGTCACCAGCACGACAACCACGAGTACACTCAGTTTTCTACTGGCTATCATGATGTCCCCCCACCCCACCCCCCACAAACCCCCAAACACCATCCAACGCTCTCTCCCATACACTGATAACCAATCTCATCCTCCACCACATCACCATCAACACACAAAGATTCGACTCAAAATGAAGGAGAGTCACAATCATACAAAACTATGCTATGCACCTACAAATAATGCAGATGAAGAGGAGAAGGAGGAATTCTACAGATAACTGGAATCACTAATGGACAACATCCCACCCACCCCAGGTGGTGACATCAAAATTCATTGTAATTGGTGGGGTGACATGAATGCCAAACTGTGGGGAGAAGACAACATAGGAAGAAGACTGATCATGGGTTGAGAATCACCCGGTGAAGTGGTGAACGAGGGTGGAGAACCGTTTTGCAGATTTCTGTGCATTCGGCGATTTGGTGATTAAAGGCAGTGTGTACAAACACGAAGATATTCACTAGACACCAGGACACACCAGAAATCAGATTGACTTCATCTCAGTGCAAAGAAAGTGGAGACGCAGTTTCCTGGACACAGAATCAAGAAGAGGAAAAGGTGTAGATTCACGCTACTATCTGGTGCAAACTAAGGAACCTTCAAAATCAAGTCGGTGATAACGGGCCACAATTAAAGTTGAGCGTCCAGAACAGAGAGTGAAGGACGAAAACACAACGGACACTTTCACGTCAGTCACCAGCAAAAAATGGGAGAGATTAAGCAACATCTTTGAGTAAACCTGCGTGGAAGATCACCGGAACTCTGTGTTGTGAAAGCGACGTGAAAGGAAACCTGCATAACCGTGTTAGGAAGGAAGAAGAAGCAAGGCAAGGAATGGAGTGGATCTGGATGGACACATGGAAGCTGATCGAGTGTTGAGAGGAAGATGGGGAAGCAGAAGATGAGCCAGCGAAGTGCAGCGCAGTGCGATGCAGGGATGAACGAGGAAAACAGGAACTGAACACAACATATAAAACACTACACTGCACAAAGAAGTGGAGAGCCCATGGAAGCACAGAAGACAGTTTCACGACACACTGGCAAGTGAAGCAGAACAGTCTGTAGATAGGAGAGACAGAAACATGACAACACTATATCAAATAACCCTCATACTGTGTGGGAGGGAAGAGATGAAGACAGATGAGACCAAGGAGAGATAGTGAAGGAAAGCTAATTGGCAAAGAGAGGGGAGAAACAGAAGAAACGATGGGCTGACCACTTCATAAAGCTCTTGAATCGATCGGCACCACCACCACCATCACGAGTTGCAATTCGTCCGGCGTCCCAGTCACAGAACTATCAGTGA